TTGCATGAGCCAGCCCTCTGTAGTTTGACTAACAGTCTTAACAGTGCTTCTTACATTATAAAAATGTTTCCTTTTCTACAGAAATTTTTGATCACACCAGAGATTTATGTGTCATCACTGGCACCTCACCCTCTCCCACCTCCACATATGCTACCAAAGAGACTGACTGCGGCAGAAGTGAAGGCCTCATTCCCTCTAAGGGCTGAAATGCAGGGATACTGTCCAGTCACTTACCTAGATGGAAAACAGAGGTAGGTCACTGGAGTTTTCATAATCTGAATTACAGAGTATGTGTCCTATATTAACATGTTAATGAGGAAACACTTTCAAAATACTTTTCAACAGTGTTCAGGGTTTGGACAGTAAGCAATTACAATTCTCTATATTGCACCTGTGGCATTGGAAATCGATATAAAACCACCTTTTAAAACTTACATGGCTACAGGTTCTACAAGGATCTGTATTAGCTTGCTGTCTTTTCATGATGAAGATGGACAAAATTCTCTCTATCATAAGCCTTCAATGGTTCAAAGAAATCTCATAAAATCCTAGTAGATGCAAAACTAGCTATTATGATTTTTGTAGGAGATCCATAAAGTTCCACTATAAAGTCCTCAGTGTGCAAGAATTTCTCATCAGAATAGCCAGTTCTTTGCTGTCCCTTCTTAATCTCCTGAACAATGATTGGCATTTTAAATGAAGGAGCTCTAAAGAAGCACAATAAAAGCTCCTTAATAAGCAAATTTTGAGGCAGGGGCTTTCTCAGATTTTGAGCCTTGTAACTGTCAGTCATGTAGTGGAAAGCTGGATGATTCAATTGCTACTTTTTTGGTGTTCCTATACTTATTAATAACCAGAAGGCTCCCAATAGCTCATGAATTTACACCGCACAAATTATGGTTTACATTTCCTGGGAATGAATAGTTCTTGCTCCATCTTGCTCCATCTCTTCAGGTATGAAGCCTTGGTGCCTGGCAATACTGAGTATGCAGCAAAATATCAAGATAAAGTATATATTTTTGAAAGTGAAGAGAAACTTCAGAAGTTTATGAGGTGAATATACCAATTTTGCATTTTAATCTTCAGTCATGTCACGGTTTATAAGTGTTAGAAGTGCTTACTTTTTATCTGGTTAGGTTACCAGAGAAGTACTGGAATCTGAAGCTTCCCCATAAACTCCCTCCAAAAAAGGAGCCAATGCTATTAACTGCACTTCCTTTGGCTGGATACCTTGAACAGGCCAGTTTTTGCTTTTTGTATTTTAAAACATGATGTATAGTATGTCCCACTCAGTTTACCTAATTTTTAATGCAATATGAGTCTTACGTTTATCAATGGGACTATATTAAATTGAAAATTTAATATACTTACAATTGCAAAGAATTTTTAAAAGCTTTAAAATATGTAAGGGAAAAAATACAAATAAGTCCATCAGAGGGGGATAATAAACTGCAATATTATATGATGGATTTTCTTACTTAGTTTTTTATGATATCTTGTATTTTTGTTTGATTTTTAACACCAGAATAGACACAAGCTTATCTGGAGTCATCTAAGGATAGTTTGTTACATTTTGACACGTGAATAAATAAAAAAATTAGTCATGGTCACTGCCCTGCCTATTTTACACTATTTGTTATCTTCTACTACTTACCAACTTAGGGTATCATCCTATATTGTTAGGTCTGCATGAGAACAGGATAAGGCTTTGAATATATTTTTGTTCAGAATTTCTGTAATGTCTCCTAAAACTGTTTTCTTTCTTTAGGGAGTAGCAACTTCTCTAATAAAAGCTCTGCATGAAGTAGGCAGCCTTAAGCCAAAATTTCCATTCCTAAGTGCGAAAGAAACTGCTCTGCTGTTTGTCTCCTTCCATTTAAAAGGTAGTGTATAAAATAATATGCTATAAAAATAACTAAATATAAAAATTATATAAGTAATACGATACAACATTTATAGCTAATTGGCGTCATTTTCTTACGTCCAACATGGAAAACCACTATTATATACTGATCTAAGTAAACACTGCCTGCTTTCTTGGAAATGTGTAAGGACCAGGGAGGAAAGTAAGGTTAATAGAACAGGTAGATACATAAGTGATCTCTCACAAATCGTGAGACTTTAATAACGCTTTATCACCAGCAACCTGATGGCCTTGAAAACATTTCTAAGAGGAACTGTTGGAGTTTTTAAACAGGAAGTAAAATGTTATATTCCAGGTGGTACTACATTTTAAACTACTCATAGACAACCTGAATTGTCTTGAAAATTGACTTATATTACTGTATCAAAAGGCTGCTGAAATACTTTCTGAGGCATAGTTTAGGTGCCTGAATGCCTTTTTTTCAATGGCATCTTGTGGCCAAATAAAATTTATAAGAAACCTTGCCTTGCAGATACCCTGAAGACAACTTTATAATTTTTAAGTTTTTAGCAGAGAAATGAAATGTTATTTATTAGTCTGTTTATTTGTGAAATTATCTGGGAAGATCTCAATATTAATGTGATTCAGAATAATGTGTTGATTATTTTTAACTTCTTAATTTAATTGATAGTCCAATTGACCCTACTTTTCCGTAACAAAGATAAACAGTCCAAAATTAAAATTAGGTGTTTCTGCTCAGCCTACAAGATAAGCATAAAGTAAAACTAATTAGGTGTTTCTACTCAGCCTACAAGATAAGCATAAAGTAAAACTTCTCATGGAGCTACCAGAGGTTAGGACTACTCCTGCACTGAGGAAAGTACTCTAGTTTTATCTTCCGTGTTCATAGTTGCTATTTTTTAGAATATTTGTTTGGGGTTTTTTTAATGCAAGATATTAGTTGCAGATAGTAATCTTCAATAGTTTGCAATGAGCTTAAATGGTGCCAGCTTTCTCGATTTCAGCATCTCTGTTTGCAGCTCTGATGCAGCTTTGGGCTAGTTTCCAGTACTGCTGGAGATTTCTGGAGCAAGACTGACATTTCTTTCAACCCACCAGTTCTGTCTTATAGAAGTCAACCTGTTCAGTGGGTGTACTTTACCTTGTCTTTTGTATTTTACATTTTTACTTATTCTTTTAGGTAATATTATTTGTTAAAAGTTCTTGATGTCCTGTGTTTCCTCATGTAGTTTCCAGAGTCCTCCAGAATTTTCTTGAACTACCACAGATTTTTTTTACTAGCACAGCTTCATTAAGGAAAGCCACTCAACAGGGTAGGCACATGGTAAGCCCCTGCATAAATGTACAGTTCCTAAGATGTCAAACTGCATTTATCCTAGTAGTTTGTTCCATCCACAAAGGCTGTTTTCATCCTGTTGTTAGAACAGCTTTGCTAATGCAACAATGCCGACTCTAGGAAATGCTTTGCTCAAATATTGCAACATTAAATTATTAGCACTGGATGATGAACCAGAAAGGTTATGCAAGTGCACAAATCTCCTCATGCAGTGCTGAACAGTTTGACCATAGGAATCCAGGAAAACAAGTTATCTTCTTCTAATACCAGGTAGAACTGCTTCCAACTTTAAGATATAGCATTCCTGTACACTGATAAATCTCCTGAACATGAAGAAGAACTTCTTTACTGTGCAGGTGACCGTGCACTGAACAGGTTGCTCAGGGAGGCTGTTGAGTCTCCCTCACTGGAGGTACTCAAGAACTGCCTGGATACAATCCTGTGCCATGTGCTCTAGAATGACCCTGCTTGAGCAAGGAGGTTGAACCAGACGACTTATTGTGGTACCTCCCAGCCCAAACCCATTCTGTGATTGTTGCAAATACTGCATTGTTTATTATTGTGCATCTCTTCAGAGCCATCAGCACGCTTGTAGCAAGCGTAGGTAGAGCCCTTCTTAAATCTTCGTTCGCGAAGCCTAGCCATGAATCTTCAGATTCATCCTTGATCAGAAAGTCGATCAAAGTGCTTCCCATTGTGGTCCCCTGGAAATTTATTTCATCCTATTTCTATCTGAAGTAAGACTTTCTTATCTTCAACTTAATGTCATTCTCTAATCTCACATTTAAATAGGGGACAAGAAACAGTGGTTTAGTTGCTCCTTCAACTTTTCTCACAACAACACTGGATTGCTTTCAGTATCTGAGAAGGTACAGGTGATCAACCATAAATGCAGAGAGATTTACTTCTGAGAAAATAGTGTTAAACCATGCATCACTAGAGTGATGGAGTGCCCTTCAAGCTTGACTCCTTTAAGAGCTCTACATGCAGCTATGCTCGAAAAACCTCTCAGAAGCTGTTAAATGCAGCTGTCTGCAATTTAAAGCTAGTGGGCAGAAGCATCTCATAGCACAGTTCTTCATGCTGTCCAGTTTTTGTAATGAGATATAAAGTACTGTCCACAGGAAAAAATTGGTTATGCTTTGTCTGTCACTTCTTCCCCTTTTCTGCAGGATAACAATTAAAATAATAAAGTAAACTCTGAGGATTGGCTCTCAATACTAATGTAAAATAGAGCTTAGGGCAGAGAGAAACCCTCCCTTCCCTACACTGTTGATCAGCTCTTCACTTTTTGTGGGCAAAGCATTTAGGTCATAGAACAGCTGTGCCAAGGACACAGGGGCCTGGTGCCAGCCATGCCAGGCCTGAGCTACCCCCAGGCTGTGCCTCTTCAGGGTATCTGCTGCACTACCCAAATTTGTAATGGCCTGGAGTTTCACCAGCAGCTCACACCCTGAGGAATGGGAAGTTGACAGCAGTTGAGCATGTTTGTTTACAAAAGCTTGATCTTTCCGAGTCTCATTACCCTTTGGAGTTAGGAACTGTCTGAAACACCAGACTTGATTTTTTGGTTTGGCACCAATGGGCACAGCGCACAGAAGGTTTACCTGTACCACAGGTAACATCATCGGGGGTAGACTTGGTCCCTTTGAAAATTTCTGTAATGTAATTCCACAAAGTTGACAGGGGACACTAACATGCTGTTTAATTTCTTGCAGCATACAACCCCCGGAGCTCGGAGCCAGTGCGACAGATGTACAAGAGGAAGCTGGTGCAGTTCTTGGAGCACTGCCAGCTCATCCCCTACCTGGGGACTGCGATGGCAGGCCCATACCAGGAGCCAAGAGATCGGCCCCTTGGCTTTGATGCCAAGGTGAAGACTTTCCTTTCCCTGAAAGACACACGCCCCAGTTTTGTGTAGTGAGGGCTGTTTTCCCCCTCCAATTTCCATGAGTTAATGTGTGGAGCGTTGCCATGAGCCAGAAGCATGGCTGACACACGGCCTGTGAACAATGTCACACCTTCTCGGACCAGCTTCTTAACCACAGAATCTTAGAAATAAAATCTTTTGTCTGAAGTTGAAAGATATTCAGCTATTAAAGAGCGTCCAAACGAAGGCTGAAAAGATGGTGAAGGAACCTTGAGGGGAAGCTGTACGGAGAGCAGCTGAGGTTGCTTGGCTTTTTCAGCCTGGAGGAGACTGAGGGGAGACCTCATGGCAGTGTACAGCTTCCTCACAGGGGAAGTGGAGTAGCAGGCACCGATCTCTCTGGTGGCCAGTGACAGGACCGAAGGGAATAGCCCAAAGCTGTGCCAGGGAAGGTTTAGGTTGGATATTAGAAGAAGGTTCTTCACCCAGTGGGTGGTTGGGCAACTGGAACAGGTTTCCCAGGGAAGTGGCCACAGCACCGAGCCTGACAGAGTTCAAGAAGCCTTTGGACAACGCTCTCAGGCACAGAGCGTGATCCTTGCAGCTGTCGTGCCCAGGGCCGCGAGCCTGATGACCCCCGTGTGTCCCTTCCAGCTCGGGACATTCCGTGATTCCAAGACCCGCCTCGTGCGTACCGCTCATGGCGGCAGCGCAGGCGCGGCGGGAGCCCCGGCCCGGCCCCGCCCGTGCCGGAAGGGCGGCGGCGGTGCCGGCGGCGGGGCCTGACTGCGGGGTGAGTGCCGGCTCCGGGCGGGGGGGGCGCCGAGGCAGGGCAGGGCCGGGCAGAGCGGGCGGCGGCCGCGCTGGAGGAGCTCGGGCCCGGGGCTCCCGGGGGGCAGCGCCCGTTCTCTGCTCCGGCCCCGCAGGGGGACGAGCGGCCTTCCCCGAACCTGCGGAGCGAGTCGCGGAGCCAGTCTCGGGGCTCACGCGGGCGCGGGAGGCGGCGCTTGCGGTGCTGCCAGTGTGCTCTCGGCCCCGCTCCCGCCGAGGCTGCTCGGGCTGTTCCCGCGCCGTGTCCTTGGCCGTGCCCGTGTCGGGACCCATCCCCGGGCCGTGCGCTGCGCCCCGGGGTCACCCCGAGAGCTCCTGAGCCCTTCCACGGCTGGAGCGGGGGCTCCCGATTGTGCACAGCCTCACTCCGAAATTGTTAGGAGCTTTTAGGAAAGGCAGGCGGGTGTTTCGGATTTTGCGGTCAAAACATGAATGGTGTCACCTCCTGATTCGACGCCAAAGTTTTTGATGTGATCGAATGTCCAATAAACCATTCCAGTTTCTTGCCTCCCCTGGGATCGCTTAGTTATTGACTCGCTACAGTCGAAAGCCATAAAACACCCACTACCCCATATGACACGTGTGGGTGTCAGGGTATGCCTGCAGGCAGGGTTGGCAGCAGCTCTCTGGGAGTTCTTGGAATGCACGGGAAGGCAGAGTTGTATCTCACCTTCAGCTGTGCCTTGAGGTGTTCCAGCAACAAACATCAGCCTCACATCCTCCAGAAATTAAAGCTCCCAGATAAAACAATTTGACTCCACCATGAACTATTTGGTAGATGATTTGGGCTAAAGAATCAGTTTTTCACCACTGCAGTAGCATTTAGGTATCATCTGTAGGTAGTGTTATTCATGCAGCATTTGTTCAGGTGATTGAAACTGCTGCACTCCCTAAATACAAATGTGCAAATTTATTTGTGCTTGATATGACTCTTGTATAAATTAAGATGTCAAGTATATAATCTGTTTTATCTTTGGCTCAGCTGAGCCTTACAAATTGGGCATTTTGGGCACATATCTTCCATAATAACAGTTGGTGGATTCTTCTGAAATTTGTGGAATTTTTTTGTTTGTTATTAATTTTTGCAAATTTACAATTCTTAGCAAGTCAAATTGATAGTTAATAATTACCATAATCAACCCTATTTTAGACAGACTGCTTTAAAATGCTGCTGTTTTTCTGCTTTTATTGCCTACCTCCGTAGGCTGAGGCTGAAGCTTAGTAGGCATAGTGTTATGAAAAAGAAACTTTTAGAATGACATAAGTGGGTAAAAGAAGTCATGAAGTTTTGCCATACCGAGATGAGTGAAGTTTTATCATCAGTAACAGGATTTCGTAGCCTTATCCCTGAATAATCTGCAACGATGAAACTGCAGTTGACCTTTTTTGTTTCCAGTGTGGTGGGTTGACGCTGGCTAGATGCCAGGTGCCCACTACAGCCACTCCATCACTCCTGTCCCGAGCTGGACCAGGGACAGAGAATATAATGAAAAGCTCATGGGTCAAGATAAGGACAGGGAGAGATGAGTCAGCAATTACCATCACAGGCTAAACAGACTTGAGTTGGAGAAATCAGTTTATTGAGTGAAATCAATGAAATCAGACCAAGATAATGAAAAATAAAACCAAATCTTAAAACAGATCACCCCACTCCTCCCTTCTTTCCAGGCTTTTCTCTGCTTTGTCCCCCTCCAGTGGTGCAAGGGGATGGGGAATGGGGGCTGTGGTCAGTTCATCACACATTGTCTCTGCCACTGCTTCCTCTGCAATGAGAGGACTCCTCATATTCTCCCTCTGCTCCAGCATGTCTTCCCACAGCAGACAGTCTTCCACAAACTTCTGCAAAGTGAGTCCTTCCCACAGGCTACAGTTCTTCACAAACTTCTCCAGTGTGGGTCTCTTCCATGGGTGCAGTCCTTTAGGAGCAGGCTGCTCCAGTGTGGGTCCCCCACAAGGTCACAAACCCTGCCAGGAAATCTCCTCCAGTGTGGGCTTCTCTCTAGAAAAAGAGGACTGTAGCCCATAAATTAGCGAGGCTGATCAAGAGGGCTTTAAACTAGGCTTGAAGGGGGAAGGGGTCAAAACCAGGCTCTCCAGTGATCAACCTAGGGATGGAAAGCCTGAGTTAAGAATTAAATCAACAGCCCACCTGAAGTGCATGTACACTAATGCACGCAGTATGGGCAACAA